GAAAACATTTGATTGACAGATGACTGTTGATATATGATTGGCTGAATTTAGGGGTTCAGGCTGACGTAGAACTAACTGGCCTGCAGAAGATAAGGAAGAAAACAGATTATAAGACAGGATTTTTTTTTTTAAATCGAAATTTTCTTAATTTTGGGACAATATGGTCTGATAAAGAGAACATTTATATACATGTTTAAGCCAGAATGGTTTAACATTTAAATATGATTTTGCTAAGACTTTAAAGACAATGCTAACATCACTAAGTCTCTCCCAGTTCTAATTGTTAGATCTCACTCAGGACAGAGAGCGACAAACACATTCTTTAAATCACAGTTCTACATCTTTATTTATTGGAAATCATATTATTCAGTAACCTAAAGGTTCCTGTTCTGTTATATCTTACACGATGTAAGTTTAATAAGTTTAATAGTGAATTAGAAAATATGTTTTTTAATTTGTTTATTTAGTGTGTAATATAGTTTTTTGTTTTTTATTCAGCATTTTGTAAAAGAAAAAAAAGTATTTAGCCCATCATGTTATTGAAAGTGGGTCTCAAGACACGAAAAAAAACTCAGGCTTTTAATAAAATGTCCACCTACCAATTAATCGTTAGACGACTGATAAGATCAATTGACTTTAACTCATTAATCAATAAGTTGCTTCCCTAACTGAGACAAAAGGGAAAAAATAAAAGGAACTCACTTAAAGATTTGCATCAGATTTTCGCTGGGAGCCGTCCGCAGACCGGCCACCATGCTCTGCAGCCGGCTGACGCTCTGCGTTGCTGAAGAGACGGGCGTGAAAAGCAGGTCCTTCTCCTTCAGGTAGACTCGCCCGGTAAGAGGAGTGGACGGGGCGAGAGAGCCGGACTGAGACAGTCGGAGAGAATCAGAGTTTTTACCATTTTCTGTACCACTGATCAGCTTCTCCCTGCAGCCTTTCTTTATAAAAAGGGTTTTATCTCCTTTAAACATATATATAGAAAATATAAAAACAAACACAATACAGTGACTTATGACCGGGCTAGACTATTAAAAAAACCCTGCAGCGTTGGTCAGCAAAATCAGTCAAATTTAGCCTCAAATAAATCTCTTTAAATGTCTTCACGACATTTTTTAAATCCTGATGAAATATTTAACATGGAGTCGCACATCGTGTGTATAGTAAGCATAACAGACTGGTGCAAAAATAATGAATGAATTTAGTCCGTGAGGCAGACACCCTGTCTACTTTTAAGGCTAGGCTTAAAACTTTCCTTTTTGATAAAGCTTCC